GCAGGAGCTTTTTGGTTAGCCTGCAGGTGGAGGAAAGTTTTTTTTTTTTTTTTTTTTTTGACCAGCATACATGAGTTTCTGTAGATCTTGCTAGAAATTGTTGAAATGTTCTTCAGGTGATAGTATTTCGACTTTGTAGATGTTGCTATGTTTCTGAAAGTTCAGGTTTGAGTGGATCACTGCACCTGGATTTTACAAATAGTCAAAGCAAAGACTGGAATCCAATCGACAATCTGTAGCAAGACTTGAAAAAATCAATTTAAAGATGCTCTTCATCGAGTCTGACTTAATTTGAGCTATTTTGCGAAAAAAGAATGGGCAAAAATTTGTTTTGCAAATGAGCTACACTACAGAGCAGAGGAAGTTTTTGGATAAGATTTGGATATTTATTTGTAAAAATATTAATAATTTGAGTATTGTATTGAATAAGTTTTTGTTAGTGATGTGAAAAAGTTCAGTAGTTGTGTATATTTTCACTCCTGTCACTTTGTCTGCGGTATTTCACCAATCATCATTTTTTATGTCTCACTTTTACTGACTCATGCTCTTTCATTCACTTTTCCATATCACAGTTTCCGCTCACATCAATCAGCTCAGTCATAAATTCACCAAGTATGAACTATTGTCTGGACGTGCAAACTGATTGATTGCTTTCTGGAAGACGAGTCAGCGGGCCGTCCTACTGACACATCGGGGTGTGAAAAGTGAAATTACGGCCGTGCGGCGGGTTGTTGGAAATTGTCATGCAGCTCTCTGAGACAGCAGGAATGCCTTCAGGTCATGGCTCTGGGTGTGCGAAACAGCTGTTCTTCTGGCGTTTTGGGAATTCCTGCGCCTCCCTCTGACGATTCGCAGGCCAAGAGGTGAACGAGAATTTACACCGCTTATCATTTAGTGGCGCGCTAAGGCTCTTAGTGGTGTGTCAGTGGAGAGTCGGTGCTTTGAATGTGTGGAAAACACTTTTAAATAGATTAAGACGTTGCTATGGATCAAAGTCTCTGAATGTGGTCTCGGAGAACTAATGTATACAAGGAAATAGTTGAGTGGATCATCACGGTTTGAACTTGGGCTTGATGTGGTGGCGCTGACTTTGAGGCCTGCTTTAATCCTGACCCTGTGAAGAGAGATGAAACAGGCGAAGCTGCTGGAGTTGGAGGCTCTCCATTATCCACCTTTAGTCCAAGATAAAGCGGCGTCTGCTCCGCGGCTCCCCCGGGAGAGCTGTTCAGGGCTCACAGCGCTCCGATTGGGATGTGGGCAGAGGCTGTTCCTGCTTCCCGTAACAGAGCGGCTTGTCAGCGCCTCGGGGGGGGTGGGTTGATGTTTCAGAAGATATGTAAACTCAGACATGCCCATCAGGTGTGTGTGTGTGTGTGTGTGTGTGTGTGTGTGTGTGTGTGTGTGTAACTGAGTAGGTATTCACGTGAAGTTGATTAGGAGACGTCCATCACATTTGGAGTAGAAAAGTAGGAACCAGTTTGGTTGAATTGTTTAAAGCTGCAGTAGCTATGTAACTTTTATTTAAAAATGTATATGTTTTACATATTTGTTGAAACTGTCGCTATGCTGTGACAGTATGATTTGAGACAAATAATATGTGACATTTAGGAGCATAGTCACAAGGTCGATGGTGCGAAGACCCGCCTCCTGGCTCCGATTGGCTAAGCTTTTCTTAAATAGCGTCTCAGGAAGGAGGTGGAGGAGGAGCTCACAGATTACTGATGATCTGTTTCTTATTATACTGCCACGACAGAATATTTTAACAAATATGTAAAAAACGTATATCTTTATAAAAGTTACATACTGCAGCTTTAAGAAACAATTTGCAATTTTGAAAAGATTTAAGCTGAAAGCAGAACATCCTTACTCCACTTCAGTTTTTCTTTTGTAACAAATGAAATAAGTCAGTCACGTATACCAAAATGTTGCTGGTTGATGTAATCCAGGTGTTCCCTTCCCTGCAGGTGGTTCTGCGAAGGCCGCGAGCTGCAGAACTCCCCTGACATTCAAATCTGGAGGGAAGGCGACCTTCACACGCTGGTGATCGCCGAAGCCTTCGAGGACGACACGGGACGTTACACCTGCGTGGCGTCCAACAGCCTGGGAGCAGACAACACCTCCGCCGAGGTTTACATTGAAGGTCAGGCATTCAGGCTGCTGCTCTCATGTAAATATTCTCAGCTGATGGTGGAAGTTTTCACACATGATCCTGACATAATTATTATTGAGCTGCTCTGTGACATAAAACTAAATGTCAATGGTTTGCCTATAATGAGCAGGAGTTTTTTATTTGTTTTTTGGGCTTTTTTACTTTTCAGAGTTTGTGCACCAGAATGAAAGCACTAAAGAAAGAAAATGATTTGACAAATTATACATGGAATACACAGCAAATTGTTTGTGTCCTTGTGGCTTTCAATAACAGCAGAGAAAATCTTCTGCAAGTTACTTAAGGTTCTATATAAAGTTACAAAACCGGCCTCTGCTTTTGTCTTCCTCTCCACTCACAGGAGCTTCATCGTCGGACTCAGAGGGAGAAGGAACGGCGTCAAAGTCAAGATCAGGAGCCATGCCGCAGTACGTGTGTTTCTGCACCGCCTCTTGTGACCTTACGACCCCACGGTGAACGCCGAACCCCAGGAAGGGTCAACTGAGCCCCACAGCAGCCAGTAGTCTGCTGTCTGCTTCTCCTTATCCAGGCCTTTAAAGAGCCTTAAGCCTGACCCAGAACGTGGGACGCATTCCTCTAATAAAAGGTCCAACGGGGTTAATATGAAAAAGAATCACCGTGTCATGCCTGCCTCTGCTTACCTCCAGACTTTAACCTCTCGTCTGCACTTCACTGCCTACATGAATGTTTCTTCCATTTCTTGAAGCTCAAGCTGCTTCAGACGACCGTTTTTTAAAAACCAAAATAAAGCATCTTGACAAGAATGTATTTTTTCCAGTCCAGCAGAGCAGAACCGCTTTACTCCAAATGTTTTTGATTATTCCCCTGCCTTTCAGGGATTCTTTGCTAAATTTTGTTTACATTCCCTTCAAGTGTGCCTTCCTTCTCCGTCTCACAGAGCGCAGAAAAAGACGACTTCGATGTCCTTAACAATACGCTCATCATCGCCCAAAACCCCAGAGGTGCCTCCTCATCGCTCAGCCCTGGTCCAGTCCATGTCTCAGCCCCCACAGAGGGTAGGTCCCAAACCAGCTGTGATCGTAAACCTTCAAATATATATATAAAAAAATATCTTCCTCTCTCTCATGTGTGTTGTCTTGTAGATGCAGAGTCCCGTGTCTGCACTGCATGGTGGTGAGGCGTCAGGCCCTCCACTGTTCACAAAGGTACGCTTGAATCAATGGAAAGTGCTCCAACCCCAAACTTTACTGTGTTTTATAGGGATTTTGTTCGATAAATAGGCCAACACAAAGTAATTACTTATAAAGTGGGAAGAACAGGAAACATTTAAAAAAAAATAAATAAAAACCCATAAAGTATGGCATGCATTTGTATTCCTCTGCCCTTAATCAATGAGATTTCTCTTAAGATTGATTTATAATGTTATTCCCTCATCAAAAACATACCTGGAGTGTTGCCTTAATTCTTTTATGCATGTTTGAGAAATCCTTTAATCTCTCATTGAGCTGTGCAAAACGCTCCAGCTCCTTCAGACTAGCCAGCAGCAGTTAGCAAACACCTGTTGGAACTGCACACCTGCAGAAGTCATTATGAGCTTCTTCTCAGTGCAATGTTGGTAAAAACAACGGTAAAGTTTAATAGAGGAGCCATGTTGTGATGACTTCTTGAAGGTGGAGTTTTAGAAAGAGCAGGAGATTTTAAAGAGACAAAGGCCCAATTTGAAATCGCTAAGTTACAAATTGAAATTTCTTTTGAGCCATATTTGATTTGTATAGCATTTTTACAAAACTGAAGGTAACTTAGTTATCTGTGGCACTATGTGGATGGAAAGTACATAGTACTGCCCCTTTAAATTAAACTGCAGTATAACCTTAACCTTGAAGGGACTCCTCCATGCTTATACATGGCACATCATCCAGACAATCCATCCACAGATGCATCCATAAATGTCCTCAGACATCCCATAATAACTGCTGTGGCTTCCACCAGTGGGGGTCCAATAAAACAGAGGCTTTTCTGGTTCAGACTCTCCAGCTCTCCGCCGTCTCCTCCCCTCCTCCCCCCTCAGGCTGCGGGTCTTATGATAGCTGAACTGAGACTGGCTGAGGCAAAGCTTCAAACAGTCCTGCCAAGCCCACAAGGGTCAGGTCCCCTTCACTTTCATTCAGCCTGCCAGGCCCTAAATCATTTCCCACTTCATTAGTAAAGGACATTTGTTGTTCCTTCACCCCCACATCGGACTCCTTTCAGACCGCTGCCAGACTTTAATCACGACATTCCCACGTTGGTCAGCACCCGTCCCCACTGACCTATGAGGAATATTTCTCCTGTGAACCTTTTCTTAAACGTGTCCGTGCTGAAAGCGCAGAATGAGAAGTTCCCAGGTTCATGTGAGCCCAGTGAGGCTGGGGGTTTCTTGTCGTAGTTCATGTATTCATCCGACTTTATAGGCGGCGAGATTGAGAGTACTCGTGTAGGAACACTTGATTTGTTCCTTCATTTTCTCACAAACTCTGCATTTTATGAGGATTTTATGCAACAGACCGAGACAAGGTAATGTAGCACACAAATGTGAAGTGGGTGAAAGATGATAAAGAAAAAAAAAGAAAAAATTTGAAAAGTGTGGCATGCATTTTTTGTTTTTTAATGAAGATGAGGAACTGAGTCAGAATTAATTGACTGGCCTAGAAAAAAAACTTAGAAGCTGCAGAAAATTAATACTGGACTGAGGTTGTATGTTTTGTTCAATAAACCAAAACATACAGCCAGATTTATACTCGTATGATTAAATGGCCCAATCAAAGTCCTGACCATAGTTCAATTGGGAAAAGCTGAAAACTGACGTTTACAGATGTTCTCCATCTAATAAGTTTCAGTCTCTAGATCTGCAAATGTTTAATGTAAATGTACAACACAGTTTATATATGTTTTAGTAAGACGTATCATTTTCTCTGAACTTCAAAGCTATGCATTGGTCTCTGTTGGTCCGTAAGATCTTAATAAAATACATTAAAAATACACGTGATGTGATAAAATGTTAAGACGTCCAAGAGGCCTGAATACGTTACAAAGCCCCTCAGGATCCTGCTTTATGATGTCGGAGTTTCCTGTTTTCAAACTTTTCCTATAGCCGATTTTTATGACCCCCTTTGTTGTGTGAAATGATCTCATTCAAATTTATTGACTGTTCTGTTTGCTAGCTTCTGATTTTATTTTCCATATAATCAGAAAAGCACTTGTAACATCTGTTTCTAAAAAAAATAGCTTTTTTAAAAAAGAAAAATTGGATTACTATGCAGTAAATCAAAGGAAATCACCATGACAATCATTATTCTTCAGAGTTTTCCTGGATCCTGGGCAGTTTATATTTCAACAAGACAATGGCTTGAATCCTTTAGAAAACTGCCATGGCTAAAAAAGGACCTTGAATCAATTTGGCTTGATTCAAAAACATGTTTGAGAAGTTATTTAAAGCCTCATTTTGATGTGGAGATGATCATATCGCCAAAGTCTAAACTGAATCCAAGAGAATTTCCTGATTCTTGAAGAGCAGATGTAATCTGAGCATGATGTGAACCTTGCAGCAGCTTTGGGAAAACGCCGAGACGTTCATTGTTGGGAGTTTCTTACTAGAAACAAACTGTTGTCCGTAGCTATTAATGATCCCCTTCACACTTTAAACTCAGACTTTCCTCTACACCTTATTCTCTGCAAACAACGACAGACTCCCAAATATACATTGTTGGCCTTGCGTGTCAAGCAAACATTTAGTCCGCTGAAAACTTTCGAAAGCTTTTAAAAGAAAGTTGCTGAACCACGGAGCATCTCTGGAGAGACTTAAAAAGACTTCTCTAATCTGCTTAATCTTGACCGTTCACGTCTGAACGAACGGGGAAACAAAAGATTACAAAATTCACATCAAGCATACAGGTTCCTTCCCCAAAAAGACATACGGGTTTAATCAAGGCCTAACAAAAGCATCTGAATTTATATATTTATGTAACGGATTAACAAAACCTTCCAATCACCTGCTTTTGCTTTGTCATTGTGGAAAATGTGTGGTGAGAATATTCCTTTTGGATCAAGCAAGCAAAGGACATGATGAGAAAAATGTGGACAGTTCTCAAAAACCTCTAGATGGACGGTAATGTCCAACAGGAGGGGAGTTATATAACAGGGTGGTTTTTTTTGTTTTTGAGATTCAAATTTTTTATGAGTTTTATAGCCCTCATCCTCCCTCTTTGTCATGTTCCTCCTCTGAAACAGATGCATCTTAATTAGAGATGTGCTCTTCATCCTTCACTCATCGGCGTCTTTCTCTTAGTGCCTCTCTCTTTCCAATCTTTGACTGTGGCCTCCTCCCCTGCAGCTCCTGCAGGACGTCCAGGCGTCAGAGGGCCAGGTGGTGGTTCTGGAGTGCAGAGTCCGCGGAAGCCCTCCCCTCCAGGTCCAGTGGTACCGACAGGGGAACGAGATTCTGGACTCGCCCGATTTCAGGATTCTACAAAAAAGTGAGACGTTCCCAAACTTGACGAAGCTCAGTAACTTTCAGACGTGTGCTGACTAATAGTTTGTTTCCCCCCCCCCCCTCTCCTGCGCTGACTGAACACATCAGAGCCTCGGTCTGCAGCTGAGTCAGGTACGATGCCTCAGGCTCTTGCAGCTACATTCATGTTTAACATGTCCAGGTTAAATAAGTAATGGACTGGCAGCTTTGTCTGGGGGCTTAATCTTGAATTCATCATGACAACATTGTATCGCTGCAGTCAAAATGGAGTCCCAGCTATTAATAACATTAAATCACATATTTCCCACCTGTCTGACTCCTTGTCTAACGCGGTCTGTGAGTCAGAGAGACATCCCCAAACATCTGTGTCTGTCTGCTAGCTTGTCTTCTACGCTCTCTGTTCGTCTGACTCATCAGTCTACCTGAGATAACCATCGTCCTTGTCATTTCTGTGTGTCACTTGGTCGTCGTCTTGTCATATTTTTCTGACCTCATTACAAACAAACGTATTTATGGTGGTGGTGATTTATTTCAGAGGAGATCTGCACCTTGGTGATCGCCGAGGCTTTTCCAGAGGATGGAGGTCTGTTCTTCTGCAAGGCGTCTAACGCTTTCGGCTCTGTCAGCAGCACGGCCCAGCTGACCGTGAACCCAGGTGCGTCCAGCGCACAATCAAAGAGACGGTCAAACTTCACAGGGGCGAAAGCCGAACCATGAGATGTGGTATCTCTTTTTATGATTGATTCTAAACCACACCAGAACTGTGGAAAATGTAATTAATTTGCAAGGTAAAGTACAGAGAAATTAAACAGAGCAAAAAAACAAAAAACAAACAAAAAAAATTAAAAATGAGACTTCTTTCCTTTAACTTCAGTCCCATTTTCTGGTTTAAGGTGCTGTAAAGTCATTAAAATAAAAATTGTTCAAGCTTCCATAACAGATTTCAATAGACAACGTTAATGTAATCCCACAGGAGCTCTTCTGGCTAGCAAGCTAAGCTAAATGTTGGTTATGATTTATCTAACACACATGCCATCTTTCTTCCGGTTCAAAAACAGCTTAAAGAACATAAATGAAGGATTTTTCACACAAAGGCTTTTCAAGCTCCAGTCCTTCATTGACCTGCAGCTTTTAAATATCTTTTCAACACACCTGAATAACATAATTCAGGTTATTATCAGGAATCTGTAGAACAACAACCACTCCATCTCCTCAAAGAGAAAAATACATTTATGATTTCTAGGGTTGTATCGTTCAGTTTCCAGAATGTGTCCAACCTCAGAAAAAGCAGTACTTTAATATTACCACAAATATACTTTCTTTACGTTGTCAGGCCAAAAAAAAAAAAAAAGTTCAATGTTTTCAGAAAATATAAACGGTACTCACAAACTGTGTCTGGGGATTCCTTCTTAAATTTTTAAGTGAGAGAATTGAATTGTATTAAATTTCTTAATTTAAGGTTTTACCTGAAGGTTGAACATCTAAAATAAAATTCAGTTATTTGAGTCATTTTTAGGAAGTTTTCCATGGCCATAATGCTAAAATCCAGCTAACCTCAGTAGTCGTTTCCTGAAGATGAAGCTGATTGGGTTTACTCATATTAGCTCAGTGACCGTCTCCTCAGGTGTGACTTAATTATCTTAAGTCTGTATAGAAAAAAGAGAGCTAAGCTGGACACAACTATTTCTGTGCATATTATCACAGACAGAGTTGTTAGTACAGTGCAGGATTCACCACACAGCGTAAAGGAAAGGCTGAATAAACAGGAATTGCATCAGCCTGACTGGACCCAGCTGTCGCCCCATATCAAACCAGCTGTGATTCACTGTGTTTGTGTTCAATTTCCACTCAGTAATGGTATGTGCTGGTCCAGAGAGACCTAAATATCAAAGTAAGTAAAAAAACAAAACAAAACACTTTCCACTGTTTGCTTCCCCCAGCAGCTGAGGACTCATCAAGTAATGGCATGTCTGGCGATAGCTCAGGATTTGAGGATGCGGCCTCCTTCCCTCCTCCACCTCCTCCTTCGCCACCACCCACCGAGATCAGCCTCCTGGAGTTGCCGCCTAAGGCGCTGCCTCAGCCCGGTTTAGATGCGTTCCGTGTCAAAGAGCTGGAGATGTGGCCCGGTGCATCCGTTCCGCCTCTGGTCCAAATTAACTCGGAGGTGGAAGACGGGGACAAGGGGAGAGGGCTGGAACCTCTACAGAACGGCCAACACCCACCGACACCTCCAAGCTTACCTAAAGACGCCCCACTCCCACCGCCACCTCCTCCTCTGCCGCTGTCAGAACTGGCGGCAGCAGACATCCAGGTCACGCCCTCCAGTCAAGCCCACATCGTACCAGATTCTCCTCCGAGCCAGGGCAAGCTGTCTCCATCTCCCGGGAAAGATGGTCCCCCGATCCCTACCAAGCCAAAACCAAAGCTGTGAGTACTTGTCATTCCTCGTATGGCTGCGTCCCAGAGGAGGGTTGGTTAGCAGGGCTGAGAGTCTGATTGGGAGGACTGGGAGGAGTGGGAGGACTGTCTGAGGGGGAAATGCTTTGTGAAAAGGGTAAACGGGGAAATCCCAGATCTTTTGGGGAAGAAAAGCATTATCTTTATGTTAGTGTCAGTAGCTGCGTTTCCATTATGAATCTGCACAAAAGTTTGTCAATATTCTACAAATGGTGAAAAAAATAATAATAATTCTCAATTGCTGTGTTGCTGTGTTGCTGTGTTTCCATTAAAAAAAGAAAAGCAATTAAAATCACACATGAATAAGTTTGTTCACGGACAGGTCATTAAAAAACATGGCGCGCTGCCATCCTCCTCCCTCTTCCTGTTGTCTTCTTTGTCTTTTCTGCCGGTGGTAACATCCGGCTGTTGATCACATGACTTGTGTGATGAGACAAAAGTGTTTCCATTGCAGTTTTGCAAAACGCACTAACTTCAATATGGCCAATAAGCTACCTTATCATAGCACAACTTTTTATCTATTTTTTTTCCCCCAAAATGTCCTTGTTTCCATTAAGCAAATTTGTTTTCATAATTCCAATTTTGTGCAAGTTTAAGGTCAGTGGAAACGCAGCTTGTGTCTGTAACAGATCTCTGTGCTTTTTCTGGATGGCTCCCATTGTATTCTTGTGACCTTGCTGTGCATGCCCGTCCCACGGTACGGCTATTGTGTTTTTGATTCCTGAGGTAGAGTGTCGCTGTCATTTTAGAAGAGCTGAGCAGCAAATGGTTTTCTTTCTGTAGTAATCAGGCCTCGTCTTAACCATCCTACCACACCTTTCCTTTTTTTATTGAAAGAATAAAGTGAAAAACTGAGGACAATAAGGAGAAAAGGAAAGACGTGAGGAAGAGAGATCTGATGTGCAACCGAACCTCACATTCAGAATAAACCATTATGTGGTTAGTCTTTTAATCCCTCAGGCTTTCCGGATGCCTCGCTGATACATGCTTGAATATTTGCAGATTGGTTCCTTTACTGGTTTGAAGTTATTCATTAAAGTAGCTACTCTATGTTTGTTTTCCAGACATTACAGGATTTTTCTTTTGATTTGTTGGCAAGTGAGACACTGTTGGTTTTCTCTTCAGTACATTCTGTGATATTCCGACTAAGTGATAAATATTGTTCTGCTCCATAAAAGATGGAAGATAAAACCTAATGACGTTAAAGGAATAGTTCAGATGTTTTTAAAGTTCAGCTCTATGAAGTTACCATCAATAATAGTTCCACAACAGATTTCGTTTTGCCAGGAGTTTATAGAAGAGTGAAAGCATATAAAAGTAATTTTTCTCAGCTTGGATAACTTTTAACGTATTGATTGGATACTTGCAACCTTGATTAACTCTCTGCTTCCAGACAGTGATAGTCCATTTCCTTTGGTAGAAAATGTTAAAAACTAAGGTTTGAAAAAATGATTCCTTAGTAACAATGACATATCACAAACAAACATGTCCTCCACGCTTAAAGACATCATGACTGTGTGCTCTACTGCTGAGTCAGTGCAAAGAGGGGCCATGACTAAATGATGGGGCGAGTAAGAGAGCGCAATCGACTTTATTAAGTCTGGATCAACTCTGTTGAAACTCTGTGACGTTATTTTGAGGGAGACATTAAATTGGTTGATCATTTGATCATGAGTTCAGTGAAATTTCTTGAGATTAATGATGACACCTGGAAAAGCACAGCAATACCCGTGACCTTGATATGCAGATGACATCCTGTTGGGAAACACAAAGTAAATTCCCCTCTTTACTGAACTCTTATGATTAGCTGTTAGCATATTCCAGGGTTTTATTCTAATTTCTACAAACTCACTGCAATTTAACATCTCTCTAGTACAATTAAATAAAATGTTATTGCTAGTAATTTCACCAAAAAGCGCTTGAAAAAAAATCTGAACTATCCCTTTAAATTTTGTCTACCACTTTTTTAAAGCTGAAACATGTAGCTTGATCTGTTTTAGTCATGGTTGCAGTCGACATTTCAGGAGGAACTTTAACCTTTTATGTTGAGTTTTAACAAAAAACATAAATTTTCTACCTAAATCAGACATTTGAACCTCTGCCCAGCTGCTGCTGATGATCACTTTGCTCTAAATCTCGGCTCTCTCAGTTCAGCCCGTTTGTCCCTGCATGCGCTCCAGATTGCTGCTTATGGGTGCATACATGTACTGAAAACGTTGTGACTTGATAACTCTGTGCTTCCAGAGCTGACAATAATGAGGAGAAGACTGAAAACGGCAGGTAATTATTTTGTTGTGTCTGTGATGCTGTAAGCAGCATTTATCTGTGGTTATGGAGAATACGTTAACAAAAGTACAGTGGAATTTCTTTAGAAACAATCAAGTTTTGACAAATCTTTTATTTAGCTCTGATATGGACATTTTTAGGAACTTTTTGTGTGAATTCAGGAGGTTACATCTGAGAAAGTTGGAGATTAAGAAAATGACCTCGTGCGTAGAGCTACGTTTACAGCCGCCCCATTAAACATAGGATTAATAATTCACTGGAGTTATATTATGACTGCATACTTTGGACAAGGCACAACATCTGACTTAGTTAGTTGCGTGACAAACCCTGCGCAACGAAAAGTCTTATCTGTTTATTTTTTCACAGATAATAAGGCCAGGATGTTCGAGATTTTTTTCCCCTTATTGGTTTAAACACTTGTGTTCTTTTTCCATAACAAAATGCATGAGGCGCTGAAACAATCAGCCTCCGACGTCAAAGAAATTAGTGTAGCCCCCCCCATCTTTTGCCCCATTACATTGTTTCCTTGCTTAATGAAAACAGCAGCGCCGCCGTTAACCAAAGGTCATGTTTCTGCAACACTGCGCTTATGAACAGTGGCCGACTGTAACCAATTTGAAGCTTATCAGTTCAATCAGATCCTGCTTGTTGTGCGGCACGTCGTCTGCAGGCTTTTTCTCAGTCAGTTGCTAGGGAACGCTCACTATAAACAGGATGTTTTTATCTGAGTTAGCCACACTCATCCTAAGGGCATGTATCCTTATTTTTATAAGTATTTTGTATGTAAGAAGTTGGGAAAGAGCACAAGTACAACACATCAGCTTGGCTTAATGTTGGTGAAGATTACATGCAGACCACCATCCCTGGGTAGTGATGCGTAACACGATGGCTGTCCAGTACAATAAGGTTTTAACAGCTTCCCACTTTGAGTTATTAAGGGCAAGAGTTATTTGTTTCAGAGAGGGAGAGGAAGTTGGGGGCGAAATGTGGAGTCTGACAGCAACACACAACCTAACAGACCAGCACTCTACTCCGGGATTTAAAAGTGCTCTGTGGCATCCCCGGCCTGTCTGTGTTTCATCACAGTGGCTGTTGCTTGTTTGTTGCAAGATTATGATTAGAGAGACAAAAATGTCAGCAATTTTTAGAAAGATCATTGCACTAAAACAACCTATGGACCAATTTCATAAATTAATTGAAAAGTTCATTTATTTGAGTAATTTAGTTCACCAAGTAGGATACTTTAAATGTATTAACTAGATTGACTGTTTTTAAGGTATTTTTTGTTAAATACAATGACTTTCTGCTTTCGGCTATGTAAACAGGACATTCAATGTTAGAATATTACATCAGAACAATTAAAAAAGCTTTTTAAAGCCAGAAATGTGGGCTTAACGAAGAGCGTGTGTAATCCCACCCTTAAAGGCTGTTTGACTCTGACAAATGACCCTAATTGAAAAGCATATTCTGAAGTAATGAATATGATTCGACACTTCTTTGTGTAAAAACTAGCAGGAGCTAATTCCTGCTTTTTTCACATAATCACTTTGTATTGTGCCTGTGTTAGTTTAACTGCATGATGGAGCTAATGGAGCTGTCAGAGTAATAGTCAGAGGACAAAGTCAGTCACACCACTCAGAGAAACTGTAAGGGAAGATAAAACACTGATTTTAAATCTGTCATTCGTGTGGCTTACACTCTGTGGGGGACAAACAAGCCACTGCTGCTCTGGTGGGTAAACAGTTAGAGGAATGTTTGGAGAGACCAGATATTGATTTAATTTCTTGTTCTGTTTTGTAACATAAAAATCCCGAGGGAGAGTATCCAGTAGTCTTAAGCATAAGCACATTTGACTTACCATACCAGCAAATTCAACTTCGAATAGCTCAAAAAGGAAGGACAATTCTGGAGAGGCCTACGCAAAACCTGGACATAAATCCAACTGGGACACATAGGTGTGGTTGAAACCAGAAAACCCTCCAGAATGGATGAAAGAAAATGTTACAACAAAATGTTGATTCAATTTCCCCATTGATTAAAAAAGAGATGGTACCAGTTATTACTGTAGCTTGAAGGCTGGACATAGAATTAGGTATTATTAAAAATTTGCTTTTTCACATGTAACTGGGTAGGTTTGGATACTTTTTTCAGCATCATTTGTAAAATGCGTTTTGTATTTATTGAAGTTTTCATTCTCTGATATTAAAGTTAGTTTAATCTAAAACATATTAAAGTGGGAAAAGCACAAATAGAAGAAAACTAGGGGTGAAAATACTTTTTGATGGCGTTCATTTTAATGTAAAGTTTATTCTTTCTGGACTTTTTTTAATTAATGTATCTATCCATCACTGGACAATATGGCTGGAAACATAATATGATACAAGAATTTCACATAAAACTACTATAGATAATTATTGATGAGTTTTTTGTTCTAAATATCTGAAATACTGATAAGTTCGAAAAGCCAAACCCTTTCTTCTGCCTACATCTCCCAGAATGCTGATCAGAGTTCAGTGAAATTATTGAATATTGTGCTAGACGTATTATTTACTGATATTTATCGCAATACATATGTTGTTATTGATTTATTGAGTGTAAAGCTTTTACTTACGAACAACTCGACTCATTAAGACAGTCCATTGATTGACTTCAAAATGGCTTCTCAGCTCAAAGTATTAACAGGCAGAAAACCGATTTCTTTTTTTTTTGGTTTGAGTAATGTTGAGGGTTATGGAGGAGCATGCTTGAGAGGAAGGGACGTGCTGCGGGAGACCTGGCTAATGAAAACAAACCTGCTGACTTTTTTTTTTTTTTTTTGCTGGGCAGAGGAATGGGCGCAGGAATGGAGTGAAAGCTGAACTCAAACTTCCCAGGGAGAGACTCAGATTCTCTGCTTGGATAAGAGCTAAGGCACAAGTCTGGAGAGAAACCAATGACTTTACCACATGTTGGGAAAGACAGGAGTTTCTCATTGACTGCCTTCTCCCCCCCGATCATTTCAGTGTTTCTAAGCATAGCCAACAATAATGTTTTAAGGTGTGTGCGTTAGTCCGAAATGACACCTTGATTCATTCATTGATTCACAAATTCACAGGCTGCTGATTACAGGATAAAATGAACAAGCAACACTTTTCTATAGAGACAGTGTTTTCTTCTCAGAAACTGCTGCAGGGTTTAAGCACACAAAGGAGAAGAATGTTTTCTTAACCTAACCCTACTGCTGGGAGCTTGTGTGTTTTGTCATCCAACCAGAAGTTATCTTGTTGTTGGAGGCCAGCTTAATTGTGTGAGCTTGGCAGAAAAACAGGAGAGCATTGCTACTGAATGAAATGGCTTTCGAGCATTGTGAGGAAAAGACACGGCCAAGGAGACGGCACTCTGGAGATTTATGACCCTGTTGGATAAACTGAGCTGTGTTTTCATGATGCAAGACATCAGATTGCTTTTATTTTGCTCAGCGTTCACCTGAACACTCACCTTATGAACATAAAGTCGCATTACGACAGGCGGGTAACACCTGGAGCTGGTCGCTCCGATTCACATGTGAGCACATGTTTGTGTTTCGGGTTGAGGAATCGACACCGACCTTGATTACGGCTCCTGTTTGTAAGATTTCATTGCAGTGTTTTATTAACATTCTGCTGTGATGGTGTACTGCTGCCATTACAATACCAATATTGATCATCTGTAATAATCTTGGCTAGAGTTATAGGATTATTTGATATTGTTTACACTGTGAAGCAAAAGTTGTTCCATTATTTCTTCTGTTAACTTTATCATAGAAAGAAAAATCTTGGCTTTAACACTTGATCATCTTTGAGGCTGTCCCGCTTGTTGCTTCAATAAGATCCTAATCAAAGCAACAGCTGGGATTTTCTACTTTCTGAGCTTTCAGAATATTCTTGAGCTGAAGTCAAAAGCTGTTTCACATTTTGTCAAGTTACTGCCACAAGCATTAATGTATTGTAGTCAGATTTTAGAAGATGTACCAACACAAAGTTGTGCAGAATTGTGGGAGGTAACTTGGTTTCCACATTTTAAAAACATAACTCTTAGAGCTGTTGCTCTGATTTGTGTTCTTTCTTTACTCTGAGAACACTTTACAATTTCTATGGTCCAGTTTGTGTCGTCTTATCACATGAAATCTGAATGAAATTCATTTTAGTTTGTGGACTTAATGTGACGAAACCTTGCAGATATTTGAACCCTGTAAATATTGCTGCTCTGTTAAATGATAGAACATGTAAAGACTTTTCACTCTGAAAAAAAGAGGAAGCATTTGACAAATTAGGAGGCATACAACTGGAGCAAAACGATAAAGGTGGAGCCAGCAAAACGCTGCCTGAGCATTATATTATAGGTTGGTACGGTCTAACGTCTGGGTGGGCGTCTCTGTGAGCCCAAGAAGCAGAGGCAACAATTATCCATTCCTCTGCTTAATCTCTCTTTCATCAGAGCAGGAATCAACACTGACAGTCGAAATGATGCTCTTGCACGGATTTCGCTCCACAAAGTGCTTTTTGTGTCCGCGCTGAAGTCTCACTAGCGGCGTGACTGTGGGTTTGTTTTTGACGCCGCACCGCAGTGTGTTCTCTTTTAGCCTGCATGATGAAAAACAGGCACTCTTTAGCACTTAGCAGAACCTCAATTTAGCCTTTTTTTTTCGTTTGCTACACTTATCCTGGTGTTCCGGCAATCATTCAGGTTTTTTCTTTTTTCTTCTTGCTCTTTGGCTGCATGGATACTGAGGTAATGACTGATTGTAATCTACAGAACTTGGGTGGCTTACATGAAACCAGACATGGGGGGAGGAAGTTAACTCAAACAGGCAAATGTATACAGTTTTGCAGCCCCTGAACCTGATTTATAAATAGTTTGGAGATGATATTTAAAGAGCAGCCTTGGAGAGAAAAGGCACAGATTTGTTTGTGTGAATGGAGCGCAGGCATCGCCAGAGCCACTTTATTTTTCTTTCCTAGGTATTTACATCTTGC